TTATCACGATGGAGCTGCCAAGTTTTGATCGACCACAGATCCGGTCGTTTGCGTCACACTGTATCGGAAAGACGACGAAGGACCTGCTGGTAGTACTCCTTTGCGATGGTTTGGCCTTGTGGTGCGTACTCACGACACACCACCCCACGAGAGTCGAAAAAACTGTCAACATGACCTTTGATATTGCTGCAGACCTGCCGCGCTTTTTTGGCCTCGAGGATCGTCCCCGAAAGTCTGCTGAATCTTGTGAATGGTTTACACTCGGGTATTGCCAAGGTTTTTGGCAAAATTTGATGTAATATCGCTGCTCACGTTGTTCAGTCATTTTCCAGCTTAGTGAAATCCGACGAGAGCGCACTACATGACCTCACTCATACGCCGATTGCCAACGACTGATGCTTCCTGCAGGTGGGAAAAAATTCAGGGCTGTGCATGACTGTCCCCTCCACAACTCCACCGAAGGAGGCCTCTCTCGCATCATTGGTTTACGCGGAAAAAAATAAGGTCTCCCCTCCACAACTCCACCGAAGGAGGCCTCTCTCGCATCATTGGTTTACGCGAAAAAAAAAGGTCCGATACTTTTTGAACAGACCTTGTATATAGACTATCTAAAGTAAACAACCAACAAACCATACAAAATAAATAAATAACGCCTTTATAACAGCCCAGCAAAAACAATTTAATTCTCTAACGTTTTCGACCAATTTTAGCGGCCTTCATCAGTTATTCCAATATTAAAAAGAACAAAGTATTTGAACCTACATAATACAAAATTAAATATTTTGTATTACGTAGTCAACTTGTGTCATTTTATAATAACACAAGTTGATATATGTATCCATGATGACGGCACTATTTTTTTATTTAAGTTTATTTGTTTACTTAAGTATTTTATGTTTTTATAATATGAATAACCTACAAGTGGTTTTTACCATTGCTATGCGCAAGCGCAGTTTAATTTTATTTAATTTTGTAACAAAATTAAATAAAACAAAACATCTTTCAAGTTAACTCCTAAAAAATCTTAACTTGAAAGATGTTGAATAGAGATTGATAAACAATGAATATAGCCTATGCAAGAGTACTACTACAGGAATAGCAAAATTTGACATACAGTAGACCCCTATAAAACAGGTTCCTATAATTACGATTCCTATAAGACAGCGAAAAAATTGCGACGGTATCTGTAAAAAAATGGTAAAAAACTCCTATAATTACGTAAAACATCATTGGGCAGCCAAACTACTTTGCGCGCCATCAAGCACCACACTATGGAGAGATTACTATCGTCTGTACAGTATTATATATAAATTAGGTACTGTACATATAATTATATATTAATTATATATAAATTAGGTATTGTATATATAATTATATATTAACTTAATTTATTGTAACTTTATTATAATTATAT